CAGCTGGCTGGGGAATTCTGGGAGTTGAAGTCCACACATCTTCAAGTCGCCAAGGTTGAGGAACCCTGGACATAGATAAAATGTACATGGTCAGTCTTATGGTGGTGGTGATGAATAGGAAATCTGTTAGCCAGTCAATTTTATTGTGCAGAGAAATTCTTCAGCATGACCTTTATAGCTACCTAAACATGTTCTCATTCTTGCCAGCTGGATGCTGTCATAGGTCTATAAAAATCAGTGATGATGCTTGGTTTCGAAAGTGTCTTGTTTTCCTATGCTTTACTGTTACTGTGGAATCCTTTAGCTTGTAGTGATATTGTCCTTTATTTTTATGCTTCAGGTCCTCTATTCTGGATTTAGCTCAGTAGAACATGGATGAAGAAAATTAAGTCATTATTGGAGCTGGAACCCTTTTTAATTCCTTCATGGTTATGCTGCCAACTTAGCTGTTTTGAAGATTCTTCTTCATCTGTGGACAAAGCTTGAGCCACAATGACTTCGGGTTTGTGGAGTCAAGAGAAAGGAAGCTCTCCATATTGGGAAGAGCGTATATTTTATTTGCTTCTCCAGGAATGTAGTATTATAGACAAGCAGACTCAAAAGCTATTGAAAGTACCTAAAGGTAGCATTGGTCAGTTTATTCAAGACAGGTCTTCAGGCGGACACATCAGGAACAACCCTTCATCCAAAAGCAAGAAATTGCAAATAGGAATAAAGATTTTGGAACAGCCCCATGTAGTCCTGTATGTTGACGAGAAAGAAGTTGTTGATATAGATGAAAAACGAGCAGAGCTGCTATTGGCAATTACCAATTGTGAGGAAAGATACAGCATATTTAAAAGCAGAAGCAGGCTGCGTAAGGGCCTCCATATTGATGTTGGTTCACCAGTGAAAGTGCAGCTGAGATCAGGGGAAGAGAAATACCCTGGAGTAGTTCGCTTTAGAGGCCCCTTAATACAGGAGAGATCCCTGTCCGGTATATTTTTTGGAGTGGAGCTTCTGGTAAGGATTCTTTTTCTTCTTTTTTAAAAGAAACTGTCTGTACACTGGCCAAACACACTTTCCGTATTGTTGAGCATGCATTCTGAAAATCTGCAAAGTGTTAAGTTTAACTTATTTATTACATTCGTATCCCAGTCCTCCTCTTAGGATTGAAGGATGGTATCAGTAGTTCTCCATACCATTTTATCCTTGCAACAAAGCTGTGAAGCAGGTTGAGTTGAGATAATGTCTGTATCTGCATATCATATTAAGTTATATTTGCACATAGAGTTCAGCCATGAGTTGCTTTACTATGGGTTATTAAATAAATGCATGCGGATATGTTTACATAAACTGCTCAGTTGCTGGATTCATGCAGTTTGTTAAGCCAAAAATAAATGGATTCTATTGTGGTTTAACATGTTGTGTGAAAGAGGTCTGTGACTCCCTCCCTAATCTAAGATCTTCTAGTGAGCTTTAATTTAATTGCTATGCAGGTTATGAAATTGGGACCTTCCTCAGCTCAACATTCGGCAGTACTTCACAACTCATTTTTTCTCCTCTTGTAAATATAGGAAGAAGGTCGTGGCCAGGGCTTTACGGATGGACAGTACCAAGGCAAGCAGCTGTTCAGATGCGATGAGGACTGTGGAGTGTTTGTTGCACTTGACAAACTAGAACTGATGGACGATGATGACAATGAACTGGAGAGCGACTGTGCAGCTCCAGTTGATTCAGTGCAGGTAGACCTTCCTCCTTTGGAGCTCAACTCCAGGGTTTCTGTGAAGATAGGGAAGAATATAGAGTATGGGACAGTTATATTCTGTGATGTCATACCAGGAAACGAGAGTTTAGGATACGTTGTTGGAGTGGACATGGTAAGAAATCAAGATTTTTATGATTTTTTGCATGTGTGTTTAAAATAGTACATGCAATATTGCTGGTGGGTAGAATCCTTGAAAGCTGTTTATGACCCTTGTTGCCATGTATAATCACTCTAGTATATTTTTTTAGTACAGTATCAGATAAAATGTGTTGCTTTGGGGAATAATCATTTGCCTCTTGGACCATAGCAACAGAGAATCTCATCTAGGGGACATGCAGCTTTATAAAAGTCACAGTATGCCTTTTTTGGACAACAAATAATGAACAAGATTGCATATGAGCAGAGATTTTAATAGGCTTTACTTACTGTTAAACATTACTTGAAACTTGCCAGGTAAATAAATTCTTGTCCTTGATTCTAATGGCAAGCCTGTTTTATTGAACTCCTCAGTTCTTTTCTGGAAAAATGGCCATGTATGTCAGTTTTGGCCTCTTGAAGGAATATAAAATGACACAGTATGAATTTGGATTTCACCTCTTAAATTGTAATGCTCAACAGCACTTTAGTAATAACTGCTGTTCCTCACTTTTCTCCTGACTTTTGTTTCCATAATTGGAAAACTTACAATAGCTTTCAAATAAACATATTGAAATCAAATGTTATACTTGGCAAAATATCCACAGGTATTTGATATAGCAAAATGCTGTTTGCACATTGAATATAATGGAATATATTTGCATAGCCTCACTTAGCTCCACTTAGAACTATGGAAGATCATGCCAGCTACCTATCCAGTCAAGCTTTCTATTCTCCTGGTAACCAGTGAGAATGGTTGGATTTGTGGAACTTCTCAATTGCTGACAAACTGTTTTTTTCCTCACTAATTGGGAGTTTTTCTTAATTGGGGCATATGAATATTAGTGGACTAATAATCCTGGTTTGTTTTTCTATTTATGAGAGGTGGGATGTCAGCATTACAAGTCTGCCTTTTTTTGTGATGGTTTGGGGTTTCCGTCTTGGCTTTGCCTAGCCTTTACAAATTTTAGTAATGTCTTGGTTTTTTTTTTAATGCATTCAGCTGTCCTCTTGAGCAATAGAGATAATCATGCTATAAAATGCTTTTTAGGATAATCCAATTGGAAATTGGGATGGAAGATACAATGGACAACAGCTCTGTAGTTTTGCAAGTGTTGAAAGCACACTTCTTTTGCATATCAATGATGTTATCCCAGGTAATATTTTATTTTACTTTCAAAAAGAATTTCCAGATTTTACCGTGTTCATTGATGTCTGATTCTAGTTTTAGATTTGCTTAGTATTTGGCCCTTTTCAGTTCGTTCTTAAATATGTTTACTAGGAAGGAAGGTCCTTGTTTCGGTGTCTACTACATTGCCTGGCGTACCTTTATTGACTTTTTTTTGGTGTGTTAATCTGCATTTCCTTTTATTTCTGGAAATGCTATTCAGAATTTTCAGATTTTCATTTTGCTTTTCATGTATTTCTTTTCCCCAAACTCATTAAGACATGCCACAACGATGGATTATTTATCTTAATAGGATGCTGGTCTTCTCAACTATTTCCAGTTGATAAAGCTTGAGGACTGATAGTTGAAAGCCGTCATTATCCAGCAATGAATTTTCTAGTTGAGAAATTGTATTGGTTTACTAGGGTAGCGTGTGGGTTAGGGAAGAATAGCATCAAGTGGAAATACAGTTATGTGGCTGCAGTTTCCATTTGTCATTAATAATTAGGCAACCTAATTTAAAGGCTAGTTAAGAACACTTTAAAACCTGTACATTGTGAGAAATAATATATATATTATATATAATGTCTCTCCAGGTGGCTCTGTATTTCCCATACAGTGTTTATGTATTGGGTTATGGGGTTGTTTTATTACACTTTCTTTAAAAGGAATATGTTCAAGTGATGCCCACATATGCTCTGATAAAAGAATTGGTATTTGTGAGAAGTGCTCAGAACCACAGGCAATCTGTTCTTTTCTCCATATTATTAGAGTGCCAGTTTTCACAAAGCTTTAATAATACTGTAACCTCTATGCTGCATACATGAGTCAACGGCTCTGTTTGCACTGGAGGAATATGGTGACTTACTTGAACAGAATCAACTGAGATGAGCTAATTTGCTTAGCAAGAAACCAAAGTTAGATAAACCCTTTGTGTCCAAAGTTGAAATTGGCAATGAAATCATTTAGTTGGCTGCATTGCCAAGGAAACTGAAATATGCGGCAATCTTTTGGGCCAGGAGATCACATATATCAAGAGAAAGGGCAGCTGGATTAGGAGACTTACTTTCTGGCTTGGCAAGGACAACAACCAAAACTCTGTAGGTATAAACTGAAGCTAAGTTTTCATTAGCTGAACCTGAGATAGGTGAGGTACAGATAGGTGTAAGAAAACATCACAGTTACTCTGCTGGATTAGTATAAAGGTTTGTTTAGTCTGACATCCTGTTCTGACAATGGCCATCTGAGTTGTCTGTTGGAAGTCCATAAGCGGGATATGAGATCAGTAGCATCTTCCCACTTAGATTTGGAAGATACCTCCTTTGATACTGGAGATAATCTGTAGTTGTCATGACTGGCTGCATTGACTTCACTATGTGACATAAGATGCAGTAGGAGGATGTTCTTATTTAGAGAACATTCATATTAAAACTAAAACATGGACTTCAGAGTTTATTTAGTGAAGGAGTGGGGCCTTGTTGTAAGACAGATGTCTTATTTGTTTCTATCAAGTGTGTCATCTTATAAGAGCTTCAGGTAGTATTCTGCCACTGATTTTTCTTTTTACAGAAAGGTACTAGTAATTTCCTATGACAGCAGTCTTTCCTGGCTGGCTGGCTAGAGATAAGCTACCACCCAGTGAAAGTTACTGAAGTGTATTAAAGATCTTATTGCTAAGGGGCAATTTGGTTAAAATATACTCAAATACCTATTTTTATCTGAACTCTTAGCAGTTATTTGGCATTGCTAAAATCCTCAGAGGTTAAGCAGAGGAAACAGCAATTTTGTAGTATGTGGGTATACTATTCCACTTAGTGAAAAACAAAATAAAAAAGCCACAGTATTTTTATTGAAACTACTACTTATTCTGACTACCACTACAAAACATTCCTGGTTTACTTCCTTCTCATTGGTCAATTTTTTTTTTACTCAGACCTCCAGCAAAAAAAGGGAAAAGTTCTTTTTGAGAGTTGAAAATGGTTCTCTTCCTCCTCTTTTCTGTCTTTCTCTAAGATTTGTTTCCATTTAGAATGAAAAATAAGAAAAATGTTATTTTAAACCATACAGGAACTAAGAATATGAACCTAATCTTCACAACTGTGTTTCATTGGTAACATCTGCATTTTGTAATATGCCATAATTGATTCTGAAAAACAAATATATTCCAGACCTAAAAGGTTCTTTCCTATGCATGTAATTCACAGAACTGTAATAATTCAGCTACAGTATTTTTTTGTTTCAAGATAAAGTAGTGATATGCCACGAAATCTTAGAGGAAAAAAGATGGTCCAGGAGTATATTTTATGAGCTGAAAGTTACAGAAGTCCTTATTTAACAGTTAGATTTGATCATTAACAGAGTTATTTTTAACAAGCTTTCATATTGTTCCAAAAGAGAGGTTGTCTGCATTATGACAGCTATTATAACAGGTTTCATATTACTGTTTGGCTTAACTCTGTGTGTAAATTCTTATATGTCAGGGCTTCCAGCCCTGCCAAGGAATGTGCAATTTGTTTCCTATTTTTTGATTAATGCTTTGAACGTAATGCATTAAATTGTTGTATAGTGTGCTTTTATACTTTGTGAAATATCTAAACTCTGCTCTGTTTTAGAGGCCATGTCTCAGGACAGGAGACCTCCCAAGCTTGCCTATACTTCTAGAGGTGGTGGTGGTGACAAAGCTTTCAGTCATAGCAAGCCAAAGTCTACAGGTACTTTGACTTAACGTTTTAGGGAAGCTTACAGTGCTGATTCTTGAATGAGGATTGCTATATGTAGTCCCCTTAAGTTGGTATTTAAAGGCATGTGACTACTAAAACAATATCTACATCAGCATCAGTGAAGGTGTTTTGTCTGTACTGTATAGCCTTCCTTATACATAAAGGTTTGACTGTGTCAGCATCTTTAATTGGTAGAAGTATGTACGGGGGAATGGAAACGGGCAGATTTATTTCCCCTTGAGCCCCTTGGATTCACTCCTTGAATTTCCTGTGCTTTATCCATTAGGTAGAATTTTATACAAGGAACCAAACTGCTCCTCAGTTGCAAAAGTCACCTGTAAAATAGGAAGAAGAAGGGTTTACTTCAGAGGGTTAAATATATTGCAAAAATATGTCCAAATTTCAGCAGTAGTCATGAGAGCCTTTGAATAGTATCCTTGTGCCAGCTACTTCTGGGATTATCCCATGGTCTTGTAATGCACGCATGTGAAGCAGCCTTTGAAGAAAGCTTAATTGCACCATTCTGAACTTGCTGATCTTTCCAGTCTACTGACCAAGACTGGATATAGGCAGTTTGTGACTCGCATACTACGATTACTATGACTATAATTAAGCAGTCCATATCTCACACAGTTCAAAGTGTTATGATGTATAAATCAAGAGTGGTTGGTTCAGGTTACCTGAAATATGTATTTTCCCATTAAGTTATTTCTTTGAGTCTTTTAACAGAACTTCTCCCAGACTCTTGAAATCTTTGCAGAGGGAAATCTATCTAGGTGCTTCTTTTTGTTGGCAGGCAACAATGTTTTTTTTCTTTTTCTTTGAATTTGGGCATCATAAACTTAACTGTTTATATTTTATTATTAAGCCCCGAAGATGACATTTGGTGGAAAGGGAGCGTGAATTTAAAATGTTTTATATGTAAAAGTACCCTAGAAATTAATAGGGGTTGAGAAACAGCTGTTCTGATTTAAATAATTAGGTCTTTAAGGTGCTACAAGATTAATGTGCACTATTGTATAAATTATCATGGATTAATATCCATGTTTCTCCTCAATTCCTAAATTCAGAAAAGGTCTATTATAATTAACTTTTGAGGGGCTGTAAGATTGCTGTAACGGTTAATATGCTTCTCTCTTCTGAAGTTATTCTGACTTAAAACACCCATCAGTGACCAACTAAACATCTCCCCCATGTTTGTTCCTTCTAAAATAATAAGTCTGAAACCAGTGATCCATATGTGGTGTCAGTCTTGAATGCATGATTGAGAATACAGTCTCACTGAAAACAGAAGCTTAAGCAGAATTGTTAGCTGATGCAGCTTTGCTTTCTAAAAGGTACTATGTTCGTAGCTTGAAATGTAAGCTGAGAACACAGCTGTTCTATTAAAGGTTTAGGACCACATGAGATCATGCAGTATTGTAGTGATTGGACCAGATGACCTGCAGTTGTATTTCTTCCATAAAAGTCATACAGTTCTGAAGCAGTTCTATAGACTTTTCTAAGAATGGCAAAGCTTACCTCTGTATATTTTTCCCTTCTGACATGGCCTGTTTTTCAGGTGCGCTCTCTGATCCTGGAAACAGAAACAGAACAGAGTTTTTCTACACCTTAAATGGCTCCTCAGTAGATTCTCAGGCACAGTCAAAATCAAAAAATACATGGTATATTGATGAAGGTAACAAGAGACTGGATTTTGATCACAGATGTAGTAACTGAATATGACTCTAAAGATATGGAGAATTCAGACTACTGTATTGACCCATATTTTTGGATGCACTTGTAATTTAAGGAAGCTCTGATGTATGCTTTTTTTCAAACAGTAGCTTTCCTATTTTCTTTGTTATTGCTGCTTTGAGTCATGGTGAGCATTGTCCAGCATCAGCTACTTACTTCCGTAACCTCAGAGGAATTATTTTACTGTTTTATTTGAATAGCTGACCCAGCATCTTACTACAAACAACTTTTGAAAGTTGCCCTTGACTTTTTTTTAGCAATTTCTTGTAGTAGCAGTTTCATGGCTTTAACGGGGTGGGGAAGATCAAAACCCTTTTGGTTAATTCCCAGTCCCTTAGATCATGGCTAGAGTTTGTCAGATAACTGAAGGCTTTTTCTTTGGCCCAAGTTTCATAATAATTTCTCAGTCATGTTAGATAATACCCACCATTCCATGACAGCTTGATTCTATTCTCTTTATTAAACCAACTGGATTGCAGGCAGAGGGTGCAAGAGGCTTATAAATAGTAATGTGCTATTATACCAGCTTGTGACCTCATACACTGAGCTTTGACTCATGATTTATTTATGTGTCTTCAGGAGATAAGTTGGTGAATGTATCCTTAAGGACCTCTCAGCAACTGATTGTAAGAATTCACTTGAGGTGCAGATTTCATTTTAGTTTGCCAGTAAATCTTGGCTTCCAGATTTCTAGGATCTAGCGCAGTGCTTCTCAGTCTCAGCAACTATAAGATGTGTGGGTTTCAACTCCCAGAATTCCCCAGTTAGCATGTTCTAAAGCAGCAGTTTTAAGCAAATAGCTTAAAGCGGACCAATAAGTCTGAGTTTTTAAATAGTTGACCCAAAATACACACTAGTTCCTGAACATTAAATAGTCCTTAAATGTTGAATAATATAGAATTGTGGCTTCAAAGGTTTTTGTGTTCAAGGCATTTTTTGTCACATCAGCTTTTCTGCTGGACCCAACTGCCAGAACAATCTTGAATACAGTGTAGGAGTCTAAGAAAAATTGAGGGACATATACCCAGTTTATTTGGAGCGCTGACTGAGCTCGCATGATATTCTGTATGAATTTGGAATGGGCCCCAGCATTCCTCCCAGTTTCTTCCACCCAAGTTTGGAATTGCGGTGAACTATCAATTATGAACTATCAACTTAGCTATCACCAAGAAACTTTGTAATAATTATTTATGAAGTGTCATTAGGTTTGCTGATTGGTATAGCAATGCAAAGTGTGGCAGAAGCTCAGATTCCTGGTTATAGTTTTTGATTATGATATTAGTAAAATCTCCTTGTTAGCTCATTGTGTTCAGCAGGTACCAATAAACTATTTAAAATAGTTCATTCTTGCGTAACAGAATCTAGTCAGAGAGAAAGATCCTGTGCATGTTTTACTCATTTTGTATGGAAAATCCATAACATTAGTTCAGATGCTTAATAAAAGTTATTACAGTTCCTCACCTGTGCTTATTTCTTCCTTTTTCCCCAATTTGACAGTGGCTGAAGATTCTGCCAAATCACTTAATGACTCCTCTTCTGGATTTGAGCATTCTTCCCCACCGCTGCAGCCTCCCCCAACTAATAGTTTATCTTCTGAAAACAGATTTCATTCCCTGCCTTTCAGTCTAACAAAGATGTCAAGCACCACCAACAGTACTATAGGACACAGCCCACTGTCCTTATCCGTTCAGTCGGTTATTGGAGAAGGAACTCCTGGGGCAACCCAGGAGAGTCCACCAGCAACAGTAGCACCTATCAACATGCACGGCCTTGAAGCTGGCTCTTTGGCGGAAGTGAAAGAGAACCCGCCGTTCTATGGAGTCATCCGTTGGATTGGGCAGCCACCAGGGGTCAACGAAGTGTTAGCAGGGCTTGAACTGGTAATTACTGTCAGATTTGAAAATGTGTGGGCAATTCCTGTCCGTGTCTATGCTGTGTTATCTTTTTATGATGGTCTTTCTCTTAAATCTCCTGGCTAGACCTTGACTCTGACGTCAGGCTAGGTGAAAATGTACTGTCTGTCTGAAGCCACCTCAAAGTACTAATTTACTCTGACATTTTGTACTGTCATAGAGTTCTTAATTTACTATCCTGGCCAGGGTTTCAGAACAAGGAAGAAAGTGGCGTCTCTGTTTCCTGCTGCTATGGCTTGGGATTTCTTTTCCCCCCTTTGGCTTGAAAGAATAGAATGACAATACCTTACAGATGCATGCTGTATAGAAGAAGAACAACCATTTGGGATGTTGCACTTGAATGTGAATGTTTCTACAGATTCTGTATGTGCTTGAAAAGCTGGAATGAGCTCTTCAGTTACTGCCTTGAACCTGAAATGTGTGATCTACTTTTCGGATAGAAAGATTGCCAGAAAAAATGGTTACACCTGATATTCTAAATTACTTATCTGGAAGTTAATGGCACTGCTGGTTTGCTTCTTGGTTAGCTCTGCAGTTTTTTTTAGCTCAGCTTCAGGAAACATATATGCATTCAACCAATTTTGTGAATGATCCAAAATTCTTCCTTGCTTGCTCCTGAATTAGTTGGACACTGCTGAGTTGTGGTAGAGGTCCCCCTCACACCTGAAGAGTTTTATTAAACAACTAAAAAACATACTGAATAAGATCTAACATACTAATCTACTGGTATGCTATATGGAAATGGACTTGGTATTAAGAGCCAATCCTTAGTTTAGACCAGTGTTTCTCAACCTTGGCAACTTTAAGACGTGTGGACTTCAACTCCCAATTCCCATGCTGGCTGGGGAATTCTGGGAGTTGAAGTCCACACGTCTTAAAGTTGCCAAGGTTGAGAAACATTGGTTTAGACAATGGTCTCTATCAGCTGCAGAGCTAGGTACAGTTAAGCCTATGGTAGAACATGGCTAGCAAGTATCCTTTTTTTTAAACAATTATGGAAAATAACAGAATAGGTGCTAGTTGCTGAATGGTAGCTAAAGAACAACAGCTTCTTTACTGCATGCTCCAAAGGATTCTTGGAAAAGATATAAAAGTCATACAAATTGTACATCCAGGGCTCTGGCAAGGCCTGATGGACCTGTCTGCCAGTATTTCCTGTAGGGGATTCTTGGAATGCACTCAAAATTCCCTTTCCACTTTGAATTGCTAAGAGAGGTCTGTATTTAGTAAGCAGGCCAGCGTTCAGCAGGCTTCTCTGCCATTAACTCAAAATTCCCTAGCAGGATGATGCTAATTTAAATGTATATTGTGTGGTATTGCAGTGTACAACTTCATTTTACTTCATTTTACTTCATTGATTTACAAAGAAGGAAAGGTAAAGAAATAGTAATAATGACAAATAAAACAAATAAAAACAGTGTAATGCACTAAAAAAAAACAGCAGTGTAACAAAGGAAGATTGGAGAAAAAAATCCAGTAGAATTCAGGTTAATAAGCAACATTCTTAGAATTCTTCAGTGAAAATGCTAGTATTGAGCTAGTAATGAGAACTGTTTACTAGCTGTAAACTAGATTTGTGGCAAGTAAGTATGCTGGCCTAGCAGAGAACTCTGCAGTTTCCTCAAATTCAAAAAATATAAAGAATGAATAATACATATATAGTCTGATATGGATCTTATTGTGGGCAGATGAATGGGAAGATGCCAGATAATTAAGGTTCCTTAATTTTGTGAGACTAATAGAAAACATGGAAAATCCAAAGTGTGATTTCTTTATGTGTGAGTTTTCACTGAGAAGTGCAAATCTCTTGTTTGCTTTTTCAGGAAGATGAATGTGCAGGTTGCACTGATGGGACTTTTAAAGGAACTCGCTACTTTACCTGTGCACCAAAGAAGGCTCTTTTTGTCAAACTGAAGAGTTGTCGACCTGATTCCAGGTTTGCTTCATTGCAGCCTGTGTCCAATCAGATTGAACGCTGCAATTCCTTAGGTATTGTAACTACCTTTCTCTGTCTTTACCAGATTTCCTGATAAAAAGTTCTTGCTTTATTCTGAATTGGGGGAAAAAAACTAATATTTCTATTGTACTTGCTGCTAATGTGACATGAATGAGAGCAGATATAGCCTTAATTTCCTGATTTGTTTTTCAGCTTTTGGAGGCTATCTCAGTGAAGTAGTTGAAGAAAACACTCCTCCAAAAATGGAAAAAGAAGGTTTAGAAACAATGATTGGAAAGAAAAAGGGAATCCAGGGTCATTATAATTCCTGCTACTTAGACTCCACCTTATTCTGGTAAATAAAAGCTGTATTTCAGGCCTGAAGTGAAGAAAACAAACATGAAATGTATTTTTTAAATTTGATTGAGTAACATTAATCTATTGGCATGTGTATGATGTCTTTTAATCTATACACAGCAGTTAGAAAATTCTAGGTGCTTTTGAAAGATTGGTGAACGAATGTTGTATGGATTGATAATACAGGTAGTCCTTGCTTAATGACCACAATTGGGTTTGGCAACTGTCGCTAAGCCACCTCCGATTTTACTGCCAGCTTCTCCATTGACTCTGCTTGTTGGAAACCAGCTGTGAAGTGTGCAAATGGCAATCACGTGACTGCGGGATGCTGCAACCGTTGTAAGTGCTCGTCAGTTGTGAAGCGCCCGAATCTTGGTCATATGACTGTAGGAACACTGTGATGGTTGTATGTAGGAGGACTGATTGTAAAGTTACTTTTTCAGCACCTTTGTAACTTCGAACGGTTGCTAAACAGGGTGGCCGTTAAGCGAGGACTGCCTGTGTATATTAGGGATTTCTTTTATTCTTGTAAACTGCCCAGAATTGTGTGCCAATGGTCAGCTGTAGAAAATGAAAGTATAAATAAGTTAGTAATTTCTGGGAACAGAACATTCTAGACAGCTCTGGAATGTTCCATACCTCCTCCAGACTGGGCTTACCTGGCCCTTCCAAGAGTGGTCGGACAGTTTTTCATTCCAGGAATGGCCGATTTTGCATGTACCTAACATGCGCCATTCAGCATGTTGTTGCTTTGAAATCCACAGAACTCGCAAGTCAGACCACATACCCAGTGTTTCTTCTAGTTCTTTAAGGATGTATCTACTAGTATCAGTTTATGGGGGTAAAAGTCTTCATCCTTCCCTGTCTCAGGATGAGTTGGAAGAAGTAGTAGCAGGTGCAACTCTAACAAGAAGGTTGTGAAGGGATCAACTCAGGTCACACTCAATTGCTTGATGCCAAACATTTTCAAATTGTCAGTCAAAGGGCTGTCTTTGCTATGCCAAAATCAATCCATATAAGCATGATAAAGGCCTCTTGCAGGCCTATATTTCATTTATAACAGTACAACCTCAACTGAATATTACAGTCAGGCTTGGTTTATAGTCTGGGAGAGGCACTGCCTAAGACACAGAATCAAAATTAATTAACATTAACTCTTATCCCGGATTTTCCCTTTTAAGTGTTCCTTTCTCTTTCCCTCTCTGCTGATTGATCCTTTGGTATTTCAAATGGTTCACATTCTGTTTTCTAAGGCAGTTGGCTCAAACTTGCTTTGTATAATGTAAGATGGTATGCGTAGTAAGCTTAGCTGCTGGCAAGGTTCAGATTACGCTGTTCCAAAATTTAAATTCTGTTCCTGGAAACAGATATTTGTCAGAGTCTAACAGAATCTGTTAAAAGCATCTCTTTATGCAAAGGATTTTGGGACAGTCTCAGCCTGAAGGTTCCCCCCCCCACCCCCTTTTGCCCTAGGCTTCCAGTTTGAAACTATTTTTTTCTGTTCTTTCAGCCTGTTTGCATTCAGTTCTGTTTTGGATACAGTCCTGCTTCGACCGAAAGAGAAGAATGATGTAGAATATTACAGTGAAACTCAGGAACTGCTGCGGACAGAGATAGTAAATCCTCTTCGAATGTGAGTTACCTTAATACATGCCAGTTTCTGTGCAAAGTGTTGAAAACTTCTTCTACAAACAGGCAGGTGTTTGAAATGGTTTCTAAAAGGTACACCAAGAAGTTTGAAAACTCCCACTTAGGTCCCCTACTTCTGGCTTCTCTACAGTTTTTATCTGGTTTTTACATCTTTTTGTTTGTTGTTCCTTCTTTTGAATTGAGGGTGGGTTGGGGGAGACAGATCAAGTGACTGTAGATAATACTCTGACAACATGGCCTCTTCAGATTCTGTCTCTTTGGGGTTCAGTGTGCCTTTTCAAACTTTGCATCTTTATGTTCTAGATACGGATATGTGTGTGCCACAAAAATAATGAAGCTAAGAAAGATACTGGAAAAAGTTGAAGCAGCATCAGGATTCACTTCTGAAGAAAAAGGTAACTTCATTCTGTAGCATTGATAACTAGGAGGAACTGAAAGGATGTTTCATGTTGTTAAACAGAAGTCTAGATAAATTTTAGAAAACACTTTAGGCTTAATCCTCAGCACATTAGTGGCTTCCAAAATATATATTACTTACGGGGAAGGTTGGGGGAGGAATCTGAATTCTGGTGTGAATTAGTTGTAGTGCTGTGTTTTTCAAATGGATGGATGGATTGATTGATTGCAAGGAGCTGAAAGCAAATGCGTACAGTGGTGCAAAATCTTTGATATATATTTTTTAATTCCTGTGAATTTCCTTTGGGGTGATGAATCCTGCACCTTTATCCCCACCATAACCTACAGGCATCTCAAGATGCCAGGTGACTTTAATATCCACATGTAGAAGGGAAAGCTGGATGGGCAACTAATAATCTGTTGCAGCAGTTGTGGCTGGATTTTCTGTTATGAGGCTTTCAAAAAATGTTCAATATTTTATAATAAGACCAAGCAACTGTCTTACAGCTAATATGTATACTTTGCTGTGGGACTGCACGTTTTATGTATTAGATTTATATCCTGCCTTTTATTCAGGCGCTCATGGTGGCGTACACACCACTCCCTCCTGTTTTTCCCCCAACAGCTCTGTGGGGTAGGTTGAGCTGAGAGAGAGAGTGACTTACCCAAAGTCTCCCAGGAAGCCTCTGTGGGTGAGGATGGACTAGAACTGGCTCTCCCCATTACTAGTCTAAGACCTTCCCCACCACAATGGCTTTATGTTCTTTTGATAATCCATCCTTGTTGTGAAGACTGTGCTTAAAATAAAATAACAGGTTAATGAAATTCCAAATCTGGAGATTCCTAAAATGATTACAGACAAGGATCAGATCATCCCCAAACAATCTAGAAAATATTGACTCTCTAGTTATGTATTTAAGAGTACACCATTTTTTAATTGCTGTTAACAGTTTCGAGACTTAGTTTCTGGCAGTTTTTTGTAACTTTGTATTTTTACTATTTCTTTAATTGCCTGTACTTTGATACTCTGATGAAACTCTCATTTTTTCAGATCCAGAAGAATTTTTGAATATTTTGTTTCATCATATTTTAAGAGTAGAACCACTCTTAAAAATCAGGTAAAACATACTCCTTGGCTCACACAACAGAAACCTTGAAGTCATATGAGTTATTTTATTACGTATAACATATAATCTTGAGGATATTTTTCAAAAACAGCTATGATTGGGAATGCCATGCAAGCATCTCCGTTACTTTTAATTGTGTCTACTTTTATAAAGTGTGAACATTTAGCTATACCTTTATCTTGAGAATTTGGGGGTGTTTCAGAAGCTCTTATTGCTGCCTTATCTTTCTTACCTAGCTCTGCCGAGGAATGTCAGTGGTGTTTCAACCTTGTAACTGCTAACACTGTCAGATGTGGAGAACTTGTAGTCAGCTCAGTATTGCTGAACTACAACTTCCAGCACCTCTCATCATATGGAAAAGTAAATCAAGAGTTGAAAAGTCAGAGATCCCTCGCATCTGAATTATGGTTATTCAACGTATATATTAACTGCACATTCAGTTTAGAAGTATAGATGCCCCTATAACTCTCTTCTTCTCATATATTGTTCTGCTACTATGTAAATGTGAAGAGGTTGTCTGAAGGTTACGGAAACTCCTATTTCCAACAGTTAGTTATAGCCTGTTGTTGCAACTTGATAGTTCACAGACTGATATGTATCAGCTATTTGACTCTTTTGAAATCATCTCTTCACCATCAATTTAGGGAATAATTTATTTTTACATTTATAGTTAAAAGGTTGGAAAGGATCCTAAAATCCAAGTCCTCTGGTTTCTTTCTGAATGCAGGAATCTACTGCTACAGGATTCTGTTGTAACTCTACAAACTGATTGGAGTCATTGTAGATTGTACTTTTTAAAATCAATATTAAGTCTCCCCGCTGTTGAATACACTGTATCTCTCTTCTTAGATCAGCAGGACAAAAAGTTCAAGACTGCTATTTCTATCAGATCTTTATGGACAAGAATGAGAAAGTTGGAGTTCCTACCATACAGCAATTACTGGAATGGTCTTTCATCAACAGCAATTTGAAATTTGCAGAGGTTTGGGGCATATTCTTCTTTTTATAGTTTTACCGATCAGTACACAGTTTGCTGGTTGATGTTGATTGGCTTTTGAGAAGTTGAAGTATGCATGTGTCTCTACAGTAGTTTAATAAATTGTTATTGGGTAAGTGGGTAACCCTTCATTATTTTGAATGAGGGATTTGCTTCTTCAGTAGCTTTGCTTGAGCTATTGGTGCAGATTTATTAATTAAAGCATAGGTGGAGAACTCAAGGCCTTCCAGATGTTCCTGAGCTTAATTTCACAACTACCTTGTGTGAATGACCAGTGGCAACTGATTCTGGGAGTTCTAGGTCAGCATCACCTGGAGTTTCCTTCTTGGTTTAGATTGTAAGTCTAAAGATAGGACTAACGCATGTGACTGATTATATGTATACTAAACCTTAAGATCCTTTTGGTTCCTTGCTTTTGAGAAAGTTTTTTTAAACTTTACATTAGGGGCATCAGCAGGATTTAATAAACTGAAACAGATAAAATGAAGTCTCTTGACTAAAACATACCTGCTTTTTCTATTGGGTTTTACTAGGCACCATCATGTCTTATAATTCAGATGCCTCGATTTGGCAAGGACTTCAAAATGTTCAACAAAATCTTTCCCTCTCTGGAATTGAATATCACAGACCTGCTAGAAGACAGTGAGTTGAAGTATGCTTTGTGATAGTACTAGAAGACTGAACCTTCAGTTGTTCAAGTGAATTCCATGCCATCTGGTGGACCTGGATAGCTGCACAAATAAAATGAATCACCTTCAAAATAATGCAGAATAGAGTTGCTGTGGTCCATAAAAATCTTGTTTCACTGTACATACAGAAGTAGAATCAGGATCTGAAATCTTCACTGCAGACTTTAAGAGAACCATATCAGTGGTTGACTTCCAGACTGCTCCAGTTTTGATCATAATGTCTTTTCTCACATTGCTAAGCTAAATGAGACTGATTATATGTAACATATAACATAACATAACATAACATAAACATAAACATAACATAACATAACATAACATAACATAACATAACATAACATAACATAACATAACAAATGTAGTTCTAACTGCCCTTAGGAAATAAAGAACCT